GCCAAATACCTCGGATTCAACATTCTTGCATGGAGTACCGTACTTGCCTGCCATGCAGCCTGCTTCAGCTTCCCTGCGCTCGTCGTTTGCCGAACACTCCTTGGTATCTTCGAGGCTGTCTGCCAGCCCGCTTTCCTCATCATGACTTCTCTCTGGTACAAGCGTGAGGAGCAGGCCCAGATCGTTACGTACTGGTACATGATGAGTAAGTTATACAAGATCAAAGACATGCAGCACCAACTAATCCTTACCTACAGACGGCATGCAACAGATTGTCGGCGGTCTCCTCGCATACGCTTTCACCAACATCAGACATCCTAGCTTTTCTGCGAACCCCGGTAACGCTTCTATCCGATCCTGGCAAGCTATATTCATCACATACGGTTGCTTCTCCTTCATCTGGGGATTGTGGGTCATCTTCCGCCTCCCCGACAGCCCCATGCGCGCCAAATGCTGGTCAGAGGAAGACAAGAAGCTCATGGTTGAGCGTGTACGCTCCAACCAAACCGGTCTCCAAAACAAAAAGTTCCGCGCCTACCAATTCAAAGAAGCCCTCCTCGACCCCCAAACCTACTGCTACATGGGCATTCAGATCTTCACCACTTTACCCACGTCAGGCCTCGGCGCCTTCTACAACATCATCATCAAAGACCTCGGTTTCGACACTCTCCAAGTCCAGCTCCTCGCCATGGTCCTCGGTGTCGTCATCATCGCCACACTAATGGGTTCCGCCTGGATGGTCAAGAAAACAAAGCAAAACTTGCTTACCATGGCCGTCTTCATGATCCCCGCCTTCGTCGGCACAATCATCATCATGACCGTTAAAAACACAAACAACGCTACCAAAGCCGGTCTGCTCATCTCCTACTGGATCGTCTTCACCTTCTGGGCCGCCCAGGGTCTCGGCATGTCCATGCTTACCCGCAACGTCGGCGGGCAGACCAAGAAATCCGTCTGCATCACCATGAACTTCTTCGCGTGGTGCGCGGGTAATGCGATTGGACCCAAGGTGTTTTTCGATGGCGACCCACGCTATCTCAAGTCCCTGGCTATTCATCTCGGGTGCTACAGTGCGCTGCTGGTTGTCATTGCGTTTTTGAGGTTCAACCTCACGCTCAGGAATAAGAAGAAGGACAGGGAGTTTGGAAAGGATATTAGCAATGCGCATGGCTTTGATGATTTGACGGATAAGGAGAACCCTAACTTTAGGTATGTTTACTAGGGGGGTTTTGGTTGGAGGGGGATGTGTAGTTGAGATAGTGTCGTATGAGCCATTGAGCATGCCTCGAATGAGCTATGATATGACTTACTTATCATGTTGCATTGCTTCTTGTTTCTTTAGTTCTGGTGATAGGTTACAATCTCTGCCCAGTACTTGCTTTTCTTGTGAAAACGTCGCTAACACCAATTCGACCTGCGCCCGTGGATGTGAATGGAGACGTACCGATTCTGCCTCTCTCAGCATATCAGCATCATTATACACTCAAGCGACCTGTATGCAACACCCAGAGTAATTGTAATCGGATCATCACGAGACGAACGCGAACGCAACAAGACCAGTTCATCCCCACATGTTCAACGGACACCTCCACCCGTGCTAGCCTGAGAGCTACGCGATTGGGGCATTGGCTTGACGTGCGCGTCCCTGTTACATCATCGCTCCGCGGCGAGCCATGGACCAGGTCTGCCGTGCCGCAACCATGCATCTTCACAGCTGATCAATGTCTACGAATTCCATGCATGTCGCGTTGTGGATATTGTTATCTTTGTACACGGTTTGACCACAGGTAAGTCAGTATACTCGCCCTATCTCTATCGATTCACTCCAGACGGCGAGATGCTCGGACTCCCTGGTGCTGACAAGCTTCTAGTAAATTCGCGCGCATTGAATGAGCTCCTATATACCACCACCGAACCATCGCTCCTAGTACTACACGAATACGCGATTCTCCGCGATACACGTCCCATCCTCCAGCGCCCTGAACCGTGCCCTCGACTGTTGTCGCCTTCTCGAACCGCGTGCGACAATGTCCGGGAAAAGAAATTATCAAGGGGGAGACGACGATGCGGACAATAAACGGCAAAGAACTTCTGGGCTCCAGTACAACGAGGATGAAGTACGACCGGGTCCGGAATCAGGAGTAGATGCCCAGACAGGGAGATTCATTCGCTCCCAGCTGCACGTTAGAGAGTGGGGACTCCCCGACGACCCTGTATCAACAGCGAAGAAAGGATAATTCTACGCAGCGGCTGGCGGTCACGTACCTGGTGTATATGGACATTGGAATAGGATTAAGTTCAACAACTTCATTGGAACGGACATCCTCGCGGGCGGCCCGGGTAACAAGCAAGAGGGTGGTTTCAGGACTAGAGATGCAGCTTGGGACCATATGGAAGCGCACAGGGCTCTTATCGAGACTGCGCTTGATGTGGAACATGGTCGCGCCTACTTAGAACTTCAACGCAAGAAGTCTCCGGACCCTGCGACGGCTCAACGTAATCGCCAGCTGGCTCAGCAATTTGCAGCGATGCAGGCTGCTCGGTCTCAGCCCAGGCCGACTCAGCAGACATCGACAACTTCCGCTCCTCAGTATCAGCCTATAGCGCAACAACAGATACCGATAAACTCCGCTCCTCAGTTCCAGCCTCAAGCGCAACAACAGATACCGACAACTTCCGCTCCTCAGCCCCAGCCCAGAATAATGCAGCAGCCACCCACGCAGTTCGCTTCTCAACCTCAACCGCAGACCCCTCAGCGCGCATCCACCTCGAGCTCAAGACCATCTACAGAGTCTTTTGCCACCTCTTCATCAAGCCAAGCAGTAACGCCGGGCAGTCATGATACACCATTGACATCTCCAGATAATTCGCAAGAGCCTGGCTCTGCCGACGCGTCTTCCACTGTCGACAACGAGAGCACTGAGCCCGAGGTGACTTTAAGTTCTGAGCAGGAGTGGGTGGTAGATCGTATCATGAACGGACATAACGTTTTCTACACCGGCTCTGCTGGCTGTGGAAAGTCTGTTGTGCTTCGTACATTCAAGAAGAGATTGGAGAAGATGAACAAGCGAGTATTCGTAATTGCACCCACGAACCTTGCTGCGCTAAATGTAGGGGGCATCACGACATAGGGTTATGCTTGCTGGGCCCCGAAGACCAACACGAAATCTGTCAATACACTACTAGAGGAGATGGAAGATAAGATGAACGGAGAGGGGGAGGGATTCACGTGCAAGTTCACAGAGACTGATGTCCTTGTCATCGATGAAGTCAGCATGATGGAGAGCAACTTCTTCGAACGCCTCAACTACGTGATGAAGCGTGCTAGAAACAGCACTGCAGCGTTTGGTGGCGTACAGATGGTTGTCACAGGAGATGTATGTTGACAGGCCCACCTCAGTGAGATCACCCGCTAACGACTGTAGTTTTGTCAGCTCCCACCAGTCAAGCCCTTCGAACGTTGTTACCGGTGCGGATTCGAGCTTAAGCCCAACCGAAAATTCAACCCTAGCGAATATCAGTGTGATTGGTGTAACAGGATGTTCCTCGATGTCAAGAAATTTGCTTTCTTTAGCAATGCATGGAAGGTACATAGATCCCGCCCTCACTAGCTCGATTGTCACTCTGACACGAACAGGAATGCGATTTTGAATGTATTCACCTGACGCAAATCTTTCGACAAGATGATCCAAACTTCCAGGCTATCCTCCAGCACATCAGACTTAGTAAGAGCCTTTGCCCTTTATGAGTCCAGACCTATGCATCATTGGGGCTTGTTTAGACACGCACAGAAACGTTGCTAACGACAACTAGATGGATTTCAACTTACCAACGACATGCGGGCCACTTTGCTTGAACCCCGTTCAGGAACGGATGGAGCCATCGAGTTGTTTTCCCATAATGATGATGTCAGAGACGCCAACGACGAAAAGATTGCAACCCTACCGGGCGAGGCCATAAAGCTCACAGCAAAGGACCGGCTACAGCTTAGTGATGATGACAGAGATAACGAACACTTACAATGGCTCAGAAAACGGCCGAAAGGGTGCATAGTAAGTGAGAAGTTCTTTCCAAACAACATCCGCTGACGGCCACGCAGGGTGATGATGCTCATCGCTACGAACAATTCGTGACGTTCAAGCAAGACATGCGCGTCTTGCTGCTCAAGAACCTCTCCCCAGGCCAGGGTCTCGTCAACGGATCACAGGGTCTGATAGTTGACTTCGAGAAATACGATGGCACGAAGTTAACAAAGAAGGCGCTAGGGTTGGGTGGTCCCCATGCGCGCTTATGTGAAGTTGAGATCGAGGACTTTTGCCGAAGGAACCGTGTTCAAGTGTGGCCAATTGTCGAATTTGACAATGGCCAGCGCAGAACTATATACCCCGATTGTTTGGTTACCGAATTCGGATCCGGTGAAGGAAGCAGCCGCCTTTCGCGAGCACAGCTCCCACTGATGGCTGGCTACGCCATGACCATCCACAAAGCCCAGGTATGTCACTGAGAGTCCTGAAATCTCACATGCGTTCTAACACGTCTTCAAGGGTATGACACTTGATCGCGTCAAGGTGAATTTGAGAAGGGCCTTTGAAGAGGCAATGGTATATGTGGCTCGTAGGTGCTCCCTTAGAAGATATTTCAGCCTGCAGCACAACGCTAAAATTTCCGAACAGTCAGCCGAGCGAGGATGCTCGAACGTCTTGAAGTCGCCGCACTTCCTGAGAAGAAATTGAACCTGCTGGATGCACAGGTCAAGCAGTTTTACCAAAGCATCACGAGCGCCTAGATACTAGGAATCTTGGTCCTGACATTGATACCCGCATATCATCGATGGCTGTTGTTGGGAACCCTGCTGTCTTCGGCGTTTGGGGTATGGTATCTTGGAGTTCGTCTTTCTGACAGACTGGCATGCATGTTTCGTTTCATTATATCAGTCCTAGGTAGAGATAGCGACATTGCCGCCATTACTATCGTGCACGTGTCTTGTACAATACTTCCCATCATCGCATGTCTTCCCCATCTACATCCCCCACCCTATCCAACCTCTCATTCTTCTTCGCACTCCCCTCCAACCCCGCCAAAATCGCCTTGTCCTCCCCCGGTATCCGCATATCAAACGTCTCCCTCACAACCGCATACTCATAATACCCACACCTAGCAATCGGCTCCGTCTTCCTTACATCGATCTTGCCGTCCGTCAAAACGCGCTCATCGATGTGCACACCAACCACCTTCCCAATCACCACATCCGCCGAGCCCATAGGCGGATTCCCAGGAAGGCGTAGGGTGGTGTAGTACTCGCACTCAAACTTCACCGGACTCCTCTTAACCATCGGCACCATCATCTCCCTCCTCCCTTCCTTCCCATCCCCACCACTTCCCCCAACAACAACCCCACTCACCCTACTATCCTCCTTCTCCACGCCCGCCATCTCAAACTCATCAACCCCATACTCTTCCTGCACTGCACTTCTATTCACTTCCTCCCTCAATTCATACGTCGCTAGATTCCACACAAACTTCCCTGTAGCTTCGACGTTGCGGACGGTATCTTTCTGGCTGTTGCTGGGTGTTTGGTTTGCGCTGAACATGACGTAAGGGGGGTCGAAGGTTAGGTTGTTGAATTGCGAGTAGGGGGCTAGGTTTGCAGCGCCGGTTGGGGAGAGGGTGGATATCCAACCTATGGGGCGGGGGAGGACGCATGCCTAATGGGTGTTAGTCTCTTTATTTAGTTGACAATTAGGGATTTTTGGATGTATCCGGAAAGACTCGTAGATATGCATACTTTGAATGGATCGTACGGTAAACCGTGGTCTTCTTTTCCAGGTTGATAGAACATCGTGCCGGCAAGAGCTACGTCATGCAAAATGCCATTTAGCACTTTCTTTCAAATACGGTCGAACTTGTGATGATCGTTGTACCACGACAACATCTCCAGATAGTTCTTATATCCTTCTTCAAAGCCAAATCCGTCATGCGGGTCGTTACCCGTTTGCCGCCAACGGGTAGACTGCGGGGAACCATCGTCACCTCCAGATCGGCAAACCTAGGCGGCATGGACTAGGACCCTGAGGCTCTTCACCCCCACTACTTCCGACGCCATGACTTGCTGTAGTATAGTTTCCTTTCAACAAAATTGCCACATTGAGATATGAACTGTAAATCATCGACGGTGTACCTACAAAACTTCCTTTAGTCGCCTGCCTACCTCAGCCTCTTAACACACCAACACCACAAACCCTAACACCATAAACCCTAACACCATAAACCCTAACACCACAACCCAAAATGCCGCCAGAAACCATCCTAATAACAGGCGCATCCTCCGGTCTCGGTCTCGCATTCGTTCAATACTATGCCTCCCTACCAACACCGCCAATCATAATAGCCATAGACAACCAAGAATTCCCTCTCCCCGCCCACCAACAAAACACCATCTCCTTCCACAGACTCGATATAACCTCTACTGAAGGACTCAAAGAATTCGCTTCAAACATCTTAAACACACCGATATCCCTTATTATCCACTGCGCCGGCATCAGAGGACTCGTTCCGGAAATCGTCGCCCAACAGAAACAGGGCGACAAAGATGTCGCCGCGACCGAGACGCTAGAGGCCATGGACCATGCGACTATGATGCGGACGTTTGAGATCAACACTTGGGGCACGCTTAACACTGTTAGAACGTTCTTTCAGAACCTCGAACTCTCTGCTGCTCAATCCGCATCGAAACCTAAAGTTGTCATCTTATCTTCTCGAATGGGCTCCATATCCGCGAACACGGCGGGCGGCGGGTACGCGTACCGAGCCAGTAAAGCGGCGCTCAACGCCGTGGTAAAAAGTCTGGTTATCGATATACCTGATGTGCAATTTTTGATGCTGCATCCTGGAAGAGTAGAAACGGGGTTAGTGGAGTGGAAAGAAGAAGGGGCGATTGGGGTCGAGGAGAGCGTGAAGGACTGTATGAGGGTTTTGGAAAAGATGGATGAAGAAGGGTGGGAGAGTGGGAGGTTGGTCGATCGTTTCGGGGTGACCATTCCTTGGTAGGATGGCGGTGGGAATCCGTCGAGGGAGGTGGAGGGGGATGGAGGGGAATGCGAGAGAAGAGGTGAGGAAAGATGATATATTTTCGCACGTATATGTCCGCGCCTATCTGGCATTGTATTTTGAAATAAAATCGCTGAACCTCTGATCTCCCGCCTTTGCTCATCTATCCGTACATTCTCTCCCGCCTCAGATGTTCTTCCATAACGCCATAATATGCATGATTGAGATCGAACCACTCTTGTTCAACCAACGAGCTAAGACATCAGCCGCGTGCTCGATTTGTGCTGATGGACACAACTCAAGCCACAGCCGAAGCAGTGACGGTGGTGTAGTTAGTAACGCCATCCATCGTTGTGCCTATAGGCTTCGTAGATGACGCCCCAGGAGTCTGTACGGTGGTGTAGTTGGTAATGCCTCCGATCCTTGTACCTGTAGGCTTGGCAGATGTAGGAGTCGCTGACGGATCGTAACCGCTGTAGTACTTGCCACCAGTCGTTGTGCCCACAGGCTTGGTAGATGTCGCCGATGATGCTTCGAATACTGGAGCCGCCTCGGATGCCGTCAATAAGAGACGTTTGTTGTGGAAGGTGATGAGAGTCGTGGAGGATTCTGAAGGGTCATATGGACTCATGTTCTTACCGCCAGTCAGAGTGGCAGGCAGTGTCATAACCTTCGTTGACGTAATGACCGCTGTTACGGTAACTACCGCAGGAGCTGCCTCTGGGGCCACCTGCGAGGCACGCTGGCCATAGAGAATCTCAAAAGTCGTCGGAGCTGTAGGGGACGCCGATGGATCATATGGACCTTCGTTCTTACCGCCAGTCAGAGTCGCCGGTAGAGTCATGATCTTGGTTGAGGTGATAACGGTAGTCACTACTACTGGAAGGGGAGATTGTTCTCCAGCCATCGCTGAGAGCGGCTCTGCTTGAGAGGAGGTGAGGGACGCTTGAGGCAAAGAAGGTGGGAGGCAGTTGTCCTGGTAGCCAGCACCAGCGCCGTTTTGATAAACTCTCACCGAGTTGATGAGATAGTACACTTCATTGAACTTGTCGGGGTTGGTCGCAACGAAGTGAGTGCAAGATTCGTCGTGAGTCTCCGCTGCGCAGTGTGTGTAGCCAGACCAGGCATTGCCTCCAGCCATGGAGCCGCAAAAGGTAATGTTGATGATCTGTCCTATGTTAGTAGGCACTCGCATCCACGAGATCGAATGTACTTACGATCTTCATCTTCTTGAACGTATTGCGAATGTCGCAACCATCCCCAACGAAGTTCATCACAGGCTTGCCCCATGTGTTGGGGTCAGGATTCGCGCTATCCCAACCCGATGGCTCGTGACCCCGAGGAAAGAACCATGCCTTGATGCCATCTTCCTCGACTTGGGCTGCCCAGACACCGCCTCGGTTATCGTTGAAGGGTTGGCCGAACGAGCCCTCGGGGCCATTGACGCCGCAGTCGCGATGTTCCATGCATTCGAGGCCTGGGCGCGTCTCGCCTGATCCGCCATTGTCTCGCATCTTGCATGGCGTGTGACCGGTATGGAGGCTGAGCGAGTTCTGCGAGTTCATGGAGACACCCTCGATGATGTCGAACTCGGAGTACCATTCCTCTTGATGACCTGTGTCGTGGAGCAGCCAGCTGCACGTGGTTAGCCGATGTACATGTCTGACGTGCCACACAAACGATGATGAGCACAAGAGAGGATGCGAGAGTCAGTACTAACTCGAAAGTCCGAGAAGGTGAGGGATAGTTGGGAAGTGAGACTTACAAAGCAGGCCACATGCCACATCCACTGGGCAGGTGCTCAAAGTCGGCAATGAAGAGTCCGTTGTCAAACGTCTGCACTCCTTCTAGTCGGACGCTCTTGCGGCCATAGCCTTCACCGGGCTCTTGCGGAGGGAGTACTTGAGTTGTATCGACTCCTAGATGTACCTTGCCGTCGTCGATGCGAGCAAGTCCAAGTGAAGTTGCCTCTTCCTTGGAGACGTAGAGAGCCATGCCTTGGGTGAACTGGTCCCAGCCGTTGTAGAAACGGAAGGAGCCATTGTCGAAGAAGTTGCTCGCGTTGTATTCCGCCTTGAGCTCATAGCCTGTGGTGAGGCAGAGCACTGAGGCAGCGACGAGGAGGGTGCGTAAGATAGCCATGGTTGATACTTGACTGTAAAGCTAGGGAAATGATAGGAAGTGGAGTTAGGAAGTGATGAGGAAGCTCGACGCAGAGAGGTTTGAATCATATAGTGGGTGCCCGTGCCCATACCGTCCCGCCCCGCTTGTAGTGAGAGAAGGAGGGAGGAAGGAGCGACCGGCAACCCACCCCATGGCGGTGAGCAGAGTGAGAGAAACCGTGCTGAGGTATATAGCCTGTGTCTATTACATTGCGGCATCAAGCAATAATAATCCATGCTGCTTGAATGATGAAGGGGCTCACACTATGCAGCTCGCAGTCTGTGATGGGTATAAGTATACAGTAGGTGAGGAAAGACGGCATCGTGCCGTGGAGTCAAAGCCAGCATGCGAATGTCGCTCCTGAAGCTAATGACTGGCTCTTACAGAGGCGTATATGACTGTTAGATGTTACTGCGAACATACTGCAGCTGAGCAGCCAAGAACGCCACCAACTAGAACCCGCCTCTGAGTCAACGCAGTTGTAGTAGCAAAGAAGCGCGTGCTCGATACATATGCGCACTGAACGGGGAGTGTGACCTGGAGCCACTTGCGAAACGACAGAGCATACCAGCATCATGCTTCATCACCCACCGTCTTTTCTACATCGCCCTCGCGGACATCAGTCAACGTGCCCTGGTCTTCCTCTCTTGACCGCGCGCCTGAGATCTTGCTAGCAGTCTCCAGTCCTCTTTCAACATCCTGCACTAGCCCATCCAACGCGTTGAAGATGTCGCCTTGCTGTTCTCTCGCCTCAGTCAGCCTGTCCTGCCCAACTTCACCCTTGCCTTTGCCCTTGCTCTTCCTCGGTATGTCGATGCCTTGTATGCGCAGCATGTATCCTTGATCCGGCGAGTCCTCATCGAACGAGGGAGCTATCCGTACATCCGTATCGGTGATTTGCCACTCTGACGAAAGCGACTGCGCATCTACGACTGTACGCCCGTCTGCGCCGACATCGATTATGAGGTAATGCTCCTTGACGCCCGGTATGGGTGGGGGCAGCGGTGACTCGACTGGTGAGTCTTGTTCGTCCCCTTCTTCGCTCCCTTGATTGCGTCGTCTCTCCCCTCCACCCGGTGCATCATGCGGGAGGTACTTTGTATCATCCAGCCCCAGGCCTCGCATCGATGCAGCAGTTATGATGGTCGGGTCGTCGTCGGCAAAGACATAGTGTGTATACGGGTGGTAGTGCTCGCCCGACGTCGTGTCTTCGATCAGGGTGAAGAAGGGTCGGAAATTCGGCGGTGGTAGCAGCGGTTGCTCGTCACTAGGCTCAGGGTAGGGTATGTCGTCCTCATCCTCGTCTTCTGGCGCATCGCCAGGGTGCTGTTGCTCGGGGAGCTCGTCGTCGGGAGGGTCTTCGGCGCGCTCTATTGACTTTGATCGTGGGGAAATCGATGCGCGACGATCTGAACGGTACTCTGTAGTGTTAGGGTAGCTAGACATGTTGTGGGAGTTGATGGAAGACTGGAGTTAACGGAGTTCGGGAGCTCTAGTAAGGTGCATGATCGATAAGGGACGTGGTCCATGCACACTACCTCATCAACCGCAAGGCAGCAAGTCAGTTACGGAATGCCGTGAAAGGCCCCTAGCTCAAAGGCTAAAGTATGTAATGCAGTCCTTAGGGTATCATCCAAATCAAAACGCCGATAGTAACATCTGTGTGCAAGCCAAGGTATGGAAGCGCCGCTTTCCCAGCTTCCATCATATGCCTGCAGATCGAGGTGACGACAAGCTTCTCAACGAGTTGCCGTAATCGATCGCGTGATCCGAAAGCTACAGCGGGCTTGTATCGGGTTCTTGGGTCGGTGCCGGGGTTTCGGTGGCTGTCGGCGCGTCTTGACTCTTCGACTTGAAAGCTGGATGTACAAGTTAGCTGAAGATCTGGTAGGTCGCTTGCGTACATACGTTGTCGGCACATGGGACACTTCTCTAGAGAGCTCTCTTGCTTCAACCAGGAGAAGATGCAGTGCTGAGACGTGTTAGTCTTTATGGCCCAGTGTGACCTCGTGGGTATGGAGGCGTACCATGTGGAACGAATGGTTGCACTCTCCCAATACTATCTCACGTTAGTCTAGACCCAGCATCGTCATGGTCAGACATACATAGCGGACACTCATCGCCAGGAAACTTGCACTTGGAGCAAGTGCTGTCGTAAGGGTTGCGACAGATACCGCAGACATCGTCGTCCGGCATATCCCAGCGCCAGGCGGCGACGGCATTCCACTCACGTATAGTGACTTTCATCGTATCTTTCGCCGCTTGGAAGGTAGAATTCAAGGTTGGCGCGTAGTTTGGGCGGAAAACAAGATCAACAGCACCAAAACATGCCGAGGCGGCAGTTTACGGCGGTGAGGGGCGGCGATTGCGCGTTAATTCCGCAGGGGTCTGAGCTCAAGCTGGAGCTCCATGCTGCAGAGCGACTAGCACGCACCACAAATACACAATCACGCAATTTCTGTTATACAGACACGCCGTGCTATGGTGCATCTATCATGGCCATCTGATAGAGGCTACGCGACCGATTGCTGTCATTAGTCAATATAGGGGGCAAGGAGATCAGACCCTCTTCAGGTTTGCTGCAGTTCCCCGCACTAACGCTGAAGCTCGATGCGGACCCTCTACTCTGCACGAGGATTGTAGATTAGGGAAGCTTCACCTCGCCGTCTAGCTCCATAAATCTTCGTTCCTTCTTCCTTCCTCGCCGACCAAACAACACCTTCTCATTCCATCGTAGCCATCAGACAAATTCCAAAATGTTCGTCTCACGCTTCCGCTGCTCTTTACGTCCGCTCTCTTCTATCCCCTCCATCAGCTTCCCCATAGCTGTAAGCAGCAGAAGGACAATGTCTTCTCAACCCGCCTTCTCCTCTTATCTCGTCACGCCATCTGAGCTCAACTCGGCATTGAAGCACAATGCCAGCAAACTTTCCACAGAACCCCGCATTGTCCCACTTTGCGCTTCTTGGTTCTTGCCCAACGACGGTCGCAATGGCTACGATACCTTTCTTGCACAGCGCATTCCGCGCGCACGCTTCTTCGACCTCGATGCCGTCAAAGACATCCATTCGCCGTACCCGCACATGTTACCCACTCCCGAAGATTTCGCAATCGCCATGAGACATCTTGGTATACGACGGGAAGATAGCGTCGTTGTCTATGATACAAAGGAATTGGGCATCTTCTCTGCGCCGAGAGTGGGCTGGACTTTGCAGGTCTTTGGTCATCCGAAGGTGCATGTGCTGAACAACTTCCGCAAGTGGGTTGAGGATGGCTTTCCAACGGAGAGTGGAGAGCCAAAGGACGTCGAGCCGACTGAGTATGCGGTGCCAAAGTTGGAAGAGGAGAGAGTCGTCGCTTTTGAAGAAGTGAAGGACATTGCGAAGGAATTGGGCAAGGAAGGCGCAGACGAAGTGCAGATACTGGATGCCCGTAGTCTTGGGAGATGGAAGGGCGTTGACCCAGAGCCCAGAGAAGGTATCTACTACCCAACAAGATGCAATCACGGCAGAGCATCATACTGACTACACCAGGGCTTTCCTCAGGACATATTCCCTACTCCACCTCCGTCCCCATCACAGACCTCCTCGACCCGAACGACAAGACCCTCCTTCCTGCCTCCGAACTCCAAGCCATCTTCAAGTCGAAAGGCGTAGATCCGTCCAAGCCAATCATAAACAGCTGTGGAACTGGTGTTACGGCAGCAATCATTGATGCTGCGTTGTCGGAAGCTGGATTTCCCACAGAGCAGAGACGGTTATACGACGGCAGTTGGACCGAGTGGGCACAGCGCGTGAAGCCAGGTGAAGGTCTCATCCGCAAGACGGAGTAAAATGCCGCCTGGAGCGCGAGGTTGGTCATGGCTATGAGACATTTCCTTGCAAAGTTGATACCCATTTCACTTTCATGTATGTAGTTTGTACCAACGAATATATGATGCTTTTCCGCCTTTATGACCATGATGAAGAATAGAAGTGCATATTAAAAGTACAAATGTCGTATCCAACGATCATCAACAAATGGGGTATATGCAGACACCTAGATGGCTCAGCCAAAAGACTACCATGTCCACGAATGGAAACGCGCAAAAGGCGGACGGTTCTCAACAAAAGAAAAGAAGTGAGTGATACGCGTCATAGGAACTGTGGTATAGCATGGTGCGCATGCTGCGATGGAAGTTGTGTGTGCTGTAATATAGGGAACTGCGTGTGCCGTGGTAGGGGATACTCCGAATGTGGTGATGTAAACTGTGGTAGATGATACCCCGGATGCTGCGGTATGGGTTGTTGCATGTACCACTGTGGAGAAAACGCAGGAGCGGCAGCAGGAGAGAAACTATCCCTTTGCCAATGGAAAACACCATGGCCGTCTAGACCACTCCTCATAGCTTGAAATGGTCAGCTCATCCTTCTAATTGGAGAGAGGAGGCACCTACCGGCGGCCATGCGATCATAATCGGAAGGCTCATGACGTGGGCCATCATGCCATGCCATGGTTCAAATGGCCGTCTTAACGAAGCATAAAGAATGGAAGACAATAAGGATAATGCTATATGGCTGAATGAAAATGACCAATGAGGGTAGGTTGGTACGATGCGTGGGGTGGCGCGATGATGAAAAGTCGCGCTTCGTAAGGGCCCGACGCGCCAAATCGCGAGGCTGGCTGTCGCGCTAGCTCATTTCAGCATAGCTCCCGCACGAGATCATGTGGGGTACGTACCTGGGTATATGTGCGATACTGAAAGGGACTTAATGCTAGCGATATGATAGTAGTGTAAATAGTGTCATTGGTACTATTGCTGGCTCGAGTTGATGATCCTTCAACGTTGCTTTGCAACGAACGCGTCTCTGCAACTGGCAATCCTATTCCTCCCCAGCACTCAAAGCCGCTTCTGAAACCCCCCGACTACTACTCTGCCCCGTCCTCGCCCTCTTGCTAACCTTCCCAGCCTTCGCCCTCCCATTCCCAAGCCAGCCCTGCTTCGCCGTAATAGGCCGTAAGAACCCATCAATATGCACACCACCAACCGTCCGTTCTTCATTGTCCGAGTCATTAGTTCTAGGGTCGTAGCCGTGTACTCGCATGCAATGCTCGACGACGCGGTAGGCCAACGGGGCGTCTTCCTCGTGCCTCCAGCAATCTGCGTGCGGGCAACGCAGTGTGCCGATTTGGAAGAAGGGTCGTTTGGGTGGCGGAGGCTGTGAGATCGAGGGGATGGTCGGAGGCGGTATGGTCAGAGGTGTGTAGGATATGGGTTCGGGGGCGGCTTTTGTTGCGAGGGCTTCGTGGAAGGGCATGAAAGACATGCCCTCGCCAAACAGAGTTGCGCAGCGCTGGGCTGTACGTGCGATAGCTCCTTCGTTCCAGCCTTGCACTGCTGCTAGTCCAAGCACTTCACTCCAGTCCAAAAGCCCTTCCCGTAGTATCCCTTCTTCTCCGGAACTATCGCTATCGCCCATGCTGCTTGAGGATCTGCGGCGCTTCCGTTCGCGAGGGATCTTGTTAGACTGTTCCCAGTCAGATCCTCCGCTTGAGATGTCATCGTCATTGGCGGGCTCTCTTTCATCTGTTGCCTTTCTGGCGGCTTTTGTCTTTTGTCGTACTGTGCGATCAACCTCTCTAGACGTTGCGCGCGAAGGTGGTCGAGTGCTAGATCTGCGGCCTGTCGCACTCTTCGATCGGGCTCTCGATGTAGACCTTGATCTCGGACCGCTCGACTCGGCACCTGAAGTGTATTCGCTCATAGAAGAATCGCCTAGCTCTCCACGACCAAAGTGATTGACGCGCGTTCGGCGGATGGCTAGCGCCAGCTTGTCTAGCTTCCTCATCATGTTCTGTATTGTCGGCTGGAGAAGTCGCTGTGCCCTAGCGTCGTCTGCTAACAAAGTCGGCTCCACGAGTATCTCTATGCGAGGTTTTCTGCCACGTTTCTTTCCAGTCGTCTGATCGCGTTCGGTATCATTGCCGTCCTCGACGTCGTCCATCCTGGCTTGTGCCCTGGGCTTGTTGTTCAGTTTCGCAGTATCGGCGCTTTGTGATCGAGATCTGCTTCGCGAAGCTGATATGTGGTCTCCAGCGTCGGAGTCAGACAAGGGCGTTTCGCGTGAGTTCCACTTCTCTTTAGCCAGCCGCAAGAAAACAGCTAGGAGTTCCTCTCGCAGCTCATCTCCTGCATCTTCGGTGTTTGCACTTCCAATAGTCCATTCGTCCACATGGTTGCTCGGAGGCTCTTCGTCTGGAGGGATTGGCCATGCCGTCCACTCTTTGGAAGGCACAACCGCCGTCTGCGTAAATCCTGCCGCATCCACGTATTCTAGATCCTGCCCAGTCTTGAGCCAGTTGTCCCTACTCTGCCAGTTCTTGAACTTCGCCGTGTCTTCTGGCGCTCGTCGTAACCGGCGCTTGAGCGCATACGCGTTGTACAGATGTACTGCAAGATCTGTCTCTTGCAGCTGATCGAGGGAGTCGGCTATCTGGCGATCCGCTTCTGTGTAGCTCTGCCATGTTTGGGGCGGTCCGTCAAAGCGATTCGGGCGCGCCGGTACCTCGTCGTCGTCGTCCTCTTCCTCGGACTCGTCGCGTGCCGACTCGCTATCGGTATCCAGGTCATCGTTTACGTCTAAAGAAATCGGGATAGCGGGAGTGTGTGCTTCTTGCACGTTGCGCGGGTCCGGGATCTCCTCGACTGACGGTGACGAGCGCGCCGATGAAGACGATGAGGTTGTAGATTCGTAGGAGGAGGGCGGTGGCGGAGCGCTACCACCAAACAACGACATCTTCGTTGCGGTAGATGTCGAAGCGGGCTTGTGGTTGTCTTGGCGTCGACATTTGCGTTATGCGATGCAGCAGTTGTGGGAGTGTGGAGGCGCGCTCAAATTTTGGTGGGGTTCCAAGGTTCTCGAGAACGACGCGCCGTCACGTTGTCGTTACCATTATCCCTGGTTCACAATCTGCTACCCATCTGGGCAGCATCATACCACCAATTTCTCATCTAAAGCCATCTTGCTAGTCCCCAACTTGATTTTGGGATTTCCATCTACATGTTGAAATTGCTTCAGGCGGTCGCTGCAATGACATCTTAGTGCCGGCATTTGTTAGGTCTTACACCCTCGAACATGGAAAGCAGGATCTAGGCACACTCGGATGACTACAGAGAGCGACCGTGAAGCGATCGTCATCTTACACGGCGTCTCGGTAGCTTGGCTTTATCTTCGCGCTGTGATGTACCGGCACATTACACTTGTGATCTGTTGATGCACGTGCCATCGCTGGCAACTGCCCAGGTGGGCGTGGGCGTCAGCGAGGCTACCTTATTAACCCTCTCTTTTGCCGTAGCCTCCAACGATCCATCAACACCACGAATCCACTTTCACAGCCACCTTTGGCTTGGCCACGCGTTAGATGCGTCCCAAAATGAGGTTTGGGCGTCATACTTTCAGGAGGCCATCAGTCGGCATACATCAAGCTTTGCGCTTACGTATCAGAACAAGCTACATTCTGCAACTATCATTGGTGGATGCTATCCAGGAAACTCATCAATGCTCTATATCGGATCTCTGCGGAGGCTTCATGAATCACGGGACAGGAGCCTTCGCAGAAAGTCAATTGCGCACGAAACATCGAGAACGAACTCTCTCACAGACATAGTGTAAGCAAAAAAGGTGCCGACTTCCGCATGGCTGCACAAAGACTGAGGTGTACCTCTCTCTGTTTCCTCACCAATCGTCAATGCTCCAAGTGCTCCAAGAATTTCAAGGAGAACCCAGGTAGTGCCGAGAGCCTCAACGGCCCATGAACACGTCCTAAGCGCGGACGAACGCCCCGAACGCGGCGCTTTGAGCGTGGTCAGCCTCAGCCTCAACATCAGTACAGTATCTCCACCAGCAGTGAGCTAGCGGCGAAATTTATCAGGGTGTCGACTCCGATCCGGGGAAGTGGTCCTGAGCCAACACCACATGGTGATCAACGGCGTGGCAGGACGCCCAAGCTGGCGCACCGATACTAAGCAATATCACCACAAACCATGAATCTCATGGAGGCTTCTGGGTAACGCCATGTAGCCGTCGAACGCCTCGTTCTTCTCCAACGTCCGGCTCACATGATTTTAGGTCAAGCCGACGACTAGTAGGCTATACGAAATCCTAGTACTCCTTTGTTGTGCTTCGGATTGCAGTAGCTCTACAGCGCCCATCAGCACTACAGCACACACCCTGGACTTTTTCCCTTGTAAATGGAATCTTGACGCCCCATTGAAAGCTAGTAGCGATGCTTGTCGTCGATTCTTCCGAATGCGCGGTTCTACTTTGATTACACCTCGATCCACACAGTAGGACCGAACTGGAAGAGCCATCGCACATACATCGGCCTTGCTTGTGGCAATATAAATATAATAGGTCTGGTATGCCAGACGATCACCAACCACAGTCGCTCTTTTAGCTTTCATATTCTCTTGCAAGACTAATTCAATCATGCGTTCATTCGTTTCAATCACCGCCGCGGCGGTGGTCGCCCTTCCTTTCGCTATGGCAGCGCCCAGGTCGTCCAAGATGGAGGCCAGGTACTACAACCCGGAGCAGGTTATTGACACTGATGTTGTCATTATCGGAGGTGGAGGTATGGGTGCTTACTCTGCCATCCAGCTCAAGGACATGGGAAAGAGGGTCGTGGTTGTTGAGAGCTCGCACCGCCTTGGAGGTCACACCGAAACCTACATGGACCTCGAGACTGGATTCCCCATCGACATGGGAGTCAAGCTGTACCATGACGAACCTTTGGTGCACCAGTGGTTCGCACGCTTCAACCTCACTCTGGGCCCAGCAAGCCCTTTCCCTA